CAACGCCTTCTTTAACCTGTAAACATGGTCAGGGTGATGTGGATCTACAAATCCTTTCCTCTTTCAAAAAACCATTCAAAAAGGCAGATTTTACATCCATTTGATAGATCACAAAACCAAGCATACATGCAATAGATAAGAACATCCTAACAGACTCTAGCCGAGCTACAGGGGCAAATGTCTCATCAAAATCAACACCCTCTTCTTGGGTGTACCCCTGAGCCAAAAGACGGGCCTTATTCCTAGTAATCTATCCTGATTCATCCGTTTTATTTTTAAAGATCCATTTTGTTCCAATGACATTTGAATCAGAAGGTCTAGGGACAAGTTCCCACACATCGTTTCTCACAAATTGTTCAAGTTCTTCATGCATAGCCTGAACCCAAAAATCATCACACAAAGCCTCTTTAGAATTTCTAGGTTCCAACTTAGACACATAACATGCAAGGTGACACAAACCAACCATCTTTAGAAAATCAGGTTTAACTCCTCTAGTGTTACGTTCAGATAGACCTTCTATGATTTGATCCTTAGGATGATCTTTCTGAATCTTAGCAGGAGGATCTCGCCGAGATTCATCCAGATTTCCGGAGGATGTTGGAACAACATATTCATTAGACTCCTCAGATTTATCATGTTCAAAGATTTCAGACTTAACATCATTTAGCACATTCACAGTTCAGAACTTGACAATTTTTTACCACTGGACACATCAATGTTAATCATTTCAGGCACAACAGCACATTCAAGACCATCATCAAAAACAACATTTATAGACTCCATAACCACCTCAGTACGTAGATTATACACACGAAAAGCACGACTATTGGCAGAGTACCCAAGGAACTGACCTTCATCATTCTTGGATTCAAACTTATGGAGGTGTTCCCTATCATTATAGATGTAGCACTTGCACCCAAAGATGTGAAAATATTTCACATTTGGTGCCTTACCTTTCCATATCTCATATGAAGTTACTCCAGTCCCCTTCCTGCAATAAACACGGTTAATTATGTGGCATGCCGTGTTCACAGCCTCTGCCCACCATCTTAATGACATGCCCTGAGATGCTAACATAACTCTCGCCATTTCTTGAAGGGTCCTGTTCTTACGTTCAACAACCCCATTTTGCTGTGGAGTGATAGGAGAAGAAAACTGGTGAAATATACCACGTGATTCGCAAAATAACTCAAAACCACGATTCTCAAGTTCCTTACCATGATCACTCTGGATTGCCACCAAATTGGTTTTGTTTTTCATTTTCAAGTTTTAACGTGAGTTTTTTGAAGGCATCAAGTGCTTCAGACTTATCTTTAAGAAAATCAACCCAAGAGAATCTAGAGAAATCATCCACACAAACTAGAATATATTTCTTACCGCTGTAGCTTTCAACCTGAATTGGTCCCATCAGGTC